GAAATCTTCGACCATGGCCAACGCTTTATTCTCTACTCTCGTCGACCGCGGCAACCACTGGGACGTTCATGAGTTTGACTACAACGCTCCTTCTCAACCGTGTTGGTGCCAATGCTAACACTGACAGTCGGGCGTCGCAAGCCACACTGTGTGCTGCCGTCACTCGGTCACCCCTCCTCATCGCGTTCGTACTTGACGGTGATGAAGACTACATCCACGTCGGACACTCCTGTTCACCTACCCAGCTGACTTCGAACGTGTCTCTCCGTACGACAATCTTTCATCTCTCTCTTGAAGAGATTTAGACCTTGATGCCGACGCAAGAGGTTAATCTATTCTAGTTCTTGCTTGCAGTCGGCTGAAGGAAGAATTGTGAGCAGAGAAGGAGAACACCTTCTTGCGATCGACTGTTCAATGGCTGAAGGAGAGAGTTGGACCGTCTTGCATGTTGTGTTATTCAAGGTTGCTATCTGTGCGGTCTTCGAGGGGTGCTATTGCCTTAGTGGATCTTGCGAAAAGGCAGTGGCAATCGACATGTATGTGGGGTATCCATTTCAGAACGCAGGTGATGACCTGAGGAGGTAGAGATGTTTGTTGTGTGTGAGCGAAGTGTGGGAGTTAGATTCGTATTTTGTGAGATGGTACCAGTTGGCAACTGTGAGTCGAGTATTCTCGAAGAACCCATGAGGGTTAGGTTTCCACGCCGTCAGCGTGGTGGATAGGGAACGGGATCGTTTGTCTTCTTTGGCGTGCGGCTGCTAGACAAGCATCCAACACAGCTCCAGGTCGCTTGCGCCCCCCCCCCCCCAAAAAAAAAACCTCTGCCTGGCTAGAGTTCGACCGCACTCTTTGCTGAATCGTATGTCTCTTATGGCTGGATTGGCAGCAATCGGCGCCGAGGTTGGTTCCTGGTCCGAAGCTTCCATGTGAATTCCAACAAGCTTCGCCACCACTAGCCAGCTGGGACCCGTCCAGCATTGCTCGACCCCCCGGGCTACTGTAGCCTTTTGGAAGAGTCGAGTCAAATGTCTTTGTAGATACCAAGGCGTTGTGCCAGTACGACGTAGCCAACAATAAGAAGAAATGGTAGCGACGCAATGAATTTCGTTTTGAAGATGAAGATTCTATAGTTTTCTGGATTTGAGTCTACCGGAAAAGCACTGGTCGAGTAAGAGGCCCCAGCAGCGAACACAAGAGTACAGGGATTTCCACGCATACAATGGCTGCAATGGAGGACTGAAGTTTTGAAATGCACCAAGTCTAGGCAGACATCATTGCTCTTAAAAATATGCACAACCATCGAGGCCCATGAAACGAAAGCCCATCCATGTCAGTAAGTTCATCTAGAAGCACTCGCTGCAGCACTCGCAGTCAATCCCAGAGGAGCAATCCGACGCGATGTAGTCTAATTTGTGTTCATACTTCAGCAGGCACACTTCAGCAGGTACTTCACCAGTAAGTTTGGTCTTTTGCATTCGGAGTGACTCTGGAGGGGTCGATTGAAGAAGCAAGGAAGCACACATTCGGTTAGTACCAATGTTGAACCACAGATCATGCTAGTATCAAGAACAACGAACAAACTTACCAAGAGTATAGAGATCTTGAAAGCTGGAGGGGAGCTCTCCGGTCAGATCTGTTTCGTGGAGGGACACATTCACGATGTGCTTCAGCTGTCCCAGTTGCTGAGGAATTGTTCCCGTCAGCGGCTGTTCCAAGCAAACGATTTTGTGCGTGAGAGGTGATTTGCGCCATTCGCTAGCTAGCACGAAGCAGGCCACAGCTGCACCCAGGCAGGCACTCACGTTGTTGTTCAGAAGGAGATCCTTCAGCTTGACCATATCGCTGATTGATTGGGGAATCGGGCCCTTCAATTTGTTATTATGCAAGGCGAGTGTCACCAAATTGGTGAGAGTCAACCAAGTCGCTGGGATCGTGCTTCCAATCTCGTTGTGTTCGAGTCTCAAGTTTTCTGTTTACGCATGGTGACGACAGAAACGAGAGTTAGTGCTTGACGCTTGACTCAAAAGGACCGAGGTGAAAATGACAAGAGAGTCTTACCCAACAAAGTGGCCTTCCCGATGCTTGCCGGTAAACTGCCGCTGATTTTATTATTGGAGACATCCAAATCGACTAAACATGGAGAAAGTAGCAACCAATCAGTCTCAAGAGTACGATAAGATAGATTTGTAACGGCAGCAACACAGCCGTCCTGCATCTTACCCAAATAGTGCAATCGTTCAAAGACATCTGGTAGTTGCCCGTGCATCTTATTGCCAGCCAACGACAAGAACTCGAGTCGATGCAAAGACTCAATCTCCGGCGGGACCGTGCCACTGAGGCCGCCATTATCATTCAATCTCAGGTCTTTCACCGTGGCAATCTTGGCCAGCAGGTCCATGGGTACTTCTCCCGACAACTCGTTGTTGCCCAAGTAGAGGTATTCTGGATTAAAAGTTGTCAAAAGAAGCAGTGAAAGATTGGGAAGAGCAACGACGAATAAAATAAGTGTGAGAACGGATCCACGCATGCGCTCTTCGAAACGAATCATTCAAAGCAATGTGCATTGTGACGACGTACCAATCTTGGGCAAATGGCCCAACTCCACAGGAATCTTGCCATGAAACTTGTTCTTGTGCAGATACAACAAACGGGTCGCCGACAGTTGTCCCAGACTCGTTGGCAACTTTCCACTAAACTGATTCTCGGACAAGTCCAAATGAAAGACAGAATCTCCGAGCTCTCCTACCGATTCGGGCAATTCGCCCGTCAACTGGTTGTCGTGCAGCCAAAGATACTCGAGCTTGGGAAAGGCAGTGGTCCAACTGACCGGCAATGTTCCTTCCAACAGGTTGCGACTCAAATCCAGTTCGACCAGGTCCGTGAGCAGTGTCAAACTGTCGGGCAGTGTTCCGTGCAAATCGTGACGAGACATGTTGAGATGAATGACCAGATCATCATTGTCACACTCGAGTCCTTGCCATTCGCAAATGTTCTTTTGAGACATCCAAATATTGTTGTTATTGGACAAGAATCGTTGTCCAGACAGTGGCGAGACGCCCGTGGTATTGGCAAATTCCTTGGGATGCGTGGCATAGTAAAACCCCGCCATGGCGACACGCTGCACGACTTCATTTTGAATGGCCGACGACAAGACGAGCATGGCAGGATCATATGCCGCCAACCAGGTAATGGCTTGGACCATGCTGGGTACCGACACGTCGACATCCACTCCGGCCTTGTTCAAAAAGTTTTCGACGGCAGCGACACGTCGCTCCACTTGTGCGGCGGGAAAGAGGGCGTCGGCCAGGTTGGCTTCGGCCGTAGTGGTAGTTGTGCCACTAGTAGCAGTGCCAGCACTAGTAGCGGTAGTCTCTGGCTGTGGTGCCGGTACAGCCACGGGAGCATCCGTGACGGGAACTTCTGTTGGAGCAGGTGTTTCGACAGCCACAGGAGCGGGTGTCTCAATGGGAGCTGGAGCCGGAGGATGATTTTCTTGATACTCCAGATACATGGGAATACCAATGAGACCCGCGCTGAGAACCGCCACAAAGATGAGTACGGGCAAACTGCAGACCACTTTAAAAATGGCGGAACAACAATCGACACAACGATCCCAACAGGATTTGCCACCATAGCCCTTTTGATTACCCCGTTTCTTCATCAATCCAACGGATGAAAAGACATCGGACGTATTGTGTGATTCTCCCAAGAACACATCGACCATGGACATGCGAGTAGAACTTTTGCCACGTCGATTCTTGCGACGAGGTTCGTACTTGCCCGTTTCGACATCCATGAGATTGACGGATTGATCGACTATAGTACAAACAAAAGAAAGCAAGAAGTCATGGACACAACGGGTAAGATGCATGCGCAAAAGTAACACAAGGCAATTCACCGACAGAAAACCACTGCCTTCCTTCCTTGCTTTCGTACTTACCTTCCCGCAAATCCTGACGAGTGGTAAAGACATTGGTTTCGGGGATAGAAGAAATCTCATTGGCTTTTTTGCGGAATCGAGACTGCCGGGTATTCTCTTCGCGGAGACTTTCATCATCAAAAATGCCGCCCTTGCCGCCACTGGCAATGGTGGGAAAGTTGAGTTGGGACATGTGAAAGTCGGCGACACTCTTGTTCATCATGGATGGATTGTTGTTCAATGCCGCATTGCTGTTGGCGGATGCGGCGGGTTGCGTGGGGAATCCTCCTCCCGGCGACAGATCAAAGTCACCTTCTTGATCTTGATCTTCCAAAAAACGCAATGCGACAGTGGTCTTGTGTTTGCTGCGCAGTGACGCCGCGGACGATTGTCCACGGCCACTGGTTCCTAGTAACGATAGCGCAGAGGATGGTGGACTGAAGAGACTGGATTCGGATTCTTCCTTGGCGGCTTGTTGACTGACGGAATCTCGAGTATGACTGCTCGTGCCCAGATCGACCATGCTGTCTTCCATCAAATTGACAAAATCAGCTCCAGCTCCAGCTCCACCACCACCACCAGACAAGTCGGCTAAACTAGAGTGACCCATACTGCTACGTCGCTTTTCTCTCTTTTCCGTCGTCATGGTGGTATTGGCAGCCGTGGCAACAGCCGTGCGATTGAACCGCGTCGATCCTCGGGATGATTTTTCGAGTGCTGCCGTTTCCAATTCAAAATCTTGTTCTTCGGCTGCCGTCATGCGTCGACTGCTGGCGCCACGGACCCATTTAAAGCCGGCACCTTCGGCACTCTTGCTGCGACTGGGTACAAAGCGTCGTCGGTCGCCACTTGCGATACTGCGATCGGTGGGGGGTGCTGGAGAATGACTGGTCCCACGGCCGGCACTAGTAGTAAACGGACGAGGACCACTGCGAGATCGTTGTGGTTGTGTTTGACGCCCGATCTTACTGCGGCTGCCGCTGTTCTTGCGGGGCGGCAATCGAGGAGGGCCACTGCCACCAGTGCCGGCGCCATTGCCACCTGTAGAACTCATATTGATTCAAGGACTTCTACTGTGGTGGCTAGCTAGCTAGCTAGAACGAGAAAGATGCCTTGAAAGAAAGGACAGAAGAGATGAAGAGAGTGAAGGAGGCTTCAATTGCTGCTGCTCTTTAGGACCTGATTTCTTCACTCAACGAAGTATACCCTCTCTTGCTTCTTCCTTGCCTGTTCAAATTGTGTGGGAACTCGAGAGCATTGCTTGCCTCGATTTGCTTTGGTAGACAACCAGCACAATGGGAAACTAGTGAGGCACAAGAACGCCCAACCAGTATCTTTGATAGCAAAAGGGGAAAGTTTGGGGGGCAATCAATGAATGTGCGCTGTTCCCACCCCCAGTTTCTAAAGTACTGCACCTCTGTCAATGGTCATTTATTTGTTCTGGTTGGATCGTTGGATCCACGGATCCACTGTCCACATGACAGTACTACTAGCTACAGTGTAGTACAAGCAGTGAAACTGGACGAGACCGGAAGCATGGATGAATGTCCGTCGATGACACCCAAACCGTAAGGTTGGAGGTAAACGAAAAAGGCTGATGATGATGATGGTAGAGGAAAAGCTATAGTTGCGTGTTACTACTTGGTTGTTGTTGTTGTGTGGCTGATTTTAGTAAGCTGGTAACTGGATAGTCATAAATCGCTAACACAGGTCATTTTCGGTCCCCTCAAGCTAGAGGGGGATCTATCTCACTCTAGATTGCACTTGGAATGGGAAAACAGACTTCATGAGTCTGAAACAGGATGTACCCTTGGGGACAAGTCCCCTTGGAGGCTCAGACCTGCCGCCAACAACAGCGGCCCACCCTATGGTCATGTTGCCTTTTGCAGATTGTTATGTTAATAAAGGACTTTCGACACCAGTCGCTGTCTCACAGGCCCGTTCTGGATCTTCGTCAGCATGTCCGCCAGATTGCTCTCAGTATTCTCGTAGGTGATGTTGGCCATGCCCGCAGCGACTCTCTCACGAACATAATGGTAGGCGACAGATTATGCAGGATTTGAGCACTCTGAGCCACACTGAGGCTCCTGGATCCTCCTGAGGTCACCTGATTGAGTAGATGCTCGCCTCATGGCCATCTGGGGTGATACAGTGGTCAAAACCTTCATATGGGACCATATGGGGCTTCCCTGGTTCCATATGCATGAGTGCGCCCATCCTAAGTGGGCGCACTCATGCGCCTGAGGTATATGGGTTCGTCACGGCACCGTTAAGCGGATCGTCTGACGAGGTGTAGCCTTTAAAATAAAATTTCGTTATTTTTTATGTATGGTCTGTGTCTCACCAGTACCAACCAAGATTCTCTATATCTTTGCTTGTTCCACATACCATGTGGATACCAGTAACATAAGGCAGACAGTTTGTTCTCACACTCACCACGTTGATCCCATGGATCCAACCCACATTTTATCGCCGGAAATGGATACCCCACATGATGATGCACCGCATCAGCTCCTCAATGCCTCTCGAACAAGATTACCCTTAAGGCAACGATGCCCGTCCAAGACCACATTTGGCAAGATCAACAGCGGCAACCATGAATCACTAAAGCCAGCGACCTAGCCAAGATCAGCCATTGAACTGCCGATCGCAAGAAGGTTGTCTCTCTCTCAGCTCACAATTATTCATTCAGCCGACGCTGAAGGCAAGAACCTAGATTAGATTAATCTCTTGCGCCGGCATCAGGTTTCGTATCTTTTCGACCCTCACCATGGCCAGCTCTAATTTCTCCGATCTCGTCTCTCGTGCGGCGGCATGGGAGGCACATGCTCCAAACCACGCTGATATCCTCACTGCTGTGGGTGGCGCCTCGAATGCAAATGGTGATGTTGCCTCTCGTGCCATGAGCCAATTTTGCCTTCGTTCACCTGTCACCTTTGGCTTCATCCTCCAAAATGATGAAACGAATATCTACATTGGACACTCACTCTACGCTTACCCCGTGAATCCGAGCCAAGCCTCTCCTTACGACAATCTATATGCTATCGTGGTGGGGAACGATCTTCGAAGCGCTATCACCGTGGTCCTCCCTATGTCTGCATTCGAGCGCACGGCTGACATAGCCTGCCACAACATGACAATTATTGACGGAGGAACCATGTTTGCTGCCGTTCCTGCTCCTGTGCTACACAGTGGCCCCCACGGTGGTGGTGTCCCAGACACTGATGTCTTCCGCGTCCGTCGTGTGATGCCTCTTCCGTCCTATCTTTCTGAAGCCATCCTTGCGGCCCGTGAGGGACAGTACAGTCTTCCCCAGTTCCGTGCGGAAGTTCTCACCCCTGAGATAACCCACGTGGATCCTGTGCGATAGGCTGCCATCACGAACCTACGTGATGCGGTGGACTTGTGCGGTCGCATCCTTTTCGAGGTCCAACAAGATTACTTCTTGTGGGTCAACGAAGCTATCCTAAATCCGGGCGCTGCTGCCCCCAACTTTGGAGCGCTCACTAGACTCGTTCAGTCCTCCCTGCCATGTCTCTCGCAAAGCTCCCTGCTCACTGGTACTCGTTCTTCAAGCCCGCTCCCGAGCCGCCTAGCAAGAAGCCTGTCGGAGCAAACCAACAGCGAGCGGGAGCACACCCCGTTACCAACGTCCACGGCGATGAGGACCTCTTGAAGCGTTTCCAGGACTCTGGGTTCCGCTCCATCACTGAAATGACCAAGGACCACCAGTATACTATTCCCAAGCACGGTGGTCAAGACGTCTGTATGGCCTGGGCCCTCAAAGGCAGCTGCACCTCCGGATGCAAGCGCGCTGCCACCCACAAGCACTACTCAGCGGCTACGGTGCAGAAGCTCCACACTCTCCTCACGGACTGTGGAGTTGCTGACCCGCAGCCCTGAGTCTCCACGCCTGGACTCGCCACCCGTATTGGAGCTCCCGCTCCTATCTCGGTGGCGTCCATGCCTGGCAAGCAGTTTGGTCCCCGCCCTTTTGATCGCGATGTCTTGTCTCCTGTGAAACCTCCAAGGACTAACAGGAGCACTCCTGCTCGCAAAACACCTTCACGACAAACAAACAAACTTCAATTCACGCCCTCTCACATGCAGCCTCGCTGTCAATGTCTTCATCATCAAAGCGGTCGGCTGGCCTACTGCCCGGATCACCTAAGAAACGCCGACCGCCTTCATCCACTACATCAAACACCACTAAAACTACTAGCCCTGCCGTTGACACCAGATCAATCCGAAATGACAGACTAGGTACGTTAGTCCAAAACCTTTGCTCAGCCTACTCGAAGGCAGAGATGTGGGAATCCTTTGTCACCAACTTCAGAGGGCGCTCCTACCTTGCTCCGAACTTGGAGGATGTCGACCATCCTGCCATCCCCTTGCTCTGCCACTGGAGAGACCATGGGGTCCCCGTACAAAACGAATCACCTCCCTGGACGACGGAACAGAAGGAGGAATGCATCCGCCGCGGCTGCCACAAATCTGCTACCGAGCATTCCGACTTCCTCCGTGAAGAATTTTCCGAGTTCATCGAGAACAAGTTCTGGGCTGTCCTTCCACTCGACCTCGTAAAGGACGAACCCTCCCTCCTTCTATCTGCCGCTGCGGTGAAGGTGGAACAAGACCGAAAACCCCGACTCATCAGCGACCACACCTGGAACTGGGGTTGGCCCTCCGCCAACGAAACCACATCACATCACGCGCCACCCGAGGCCATGCAATTTGGAAATGCCCTGCCGTGCATCTTGTACGATGTGCGTCACGCTAACCCCAAGTTTGGACCCGTCCGCCTCTGCAAGCATGACATCAAGGACGGCTTCTACCGCATGTTCCTGAACCCTTCCGACTGCATCCGACTCGCGCTGGTGCTGCCTCGATATGAAGGTGAGCCCCAACGGGTGGCCGTCCCAATGTCATGCACCATGGGATGGGTCGAGTCGCCACCCACTTTCAGTGGCATGTCGGAGACTACCTGCGACCGAGCAAATGAACACTTCCTGAAGTCCCCCAGAGCCTGTCCTCCACACAGGCTTGAGCATCATGCCCAGGAAATGGATGACCTGGACCCGTCCACCACTCCTAGACCACGAGAGAAAGAGGACCATGCGGCAACGCAGGAACTCCTTGGGATAGCCACCCCCCCTTGGAGGCCGAGCCGGACCACTTCGCGGGACCCTCGAACAGACCTCTGCTCCAGCCCATCGGGCGAAATGATGTGTTCGTTGACGACTTCATCCAACTGGGCCAAGGAGGAAAGACCCGTATGAAAGCGCTGCGCAGGCACTTACTCCATGCCATTGATGAGATCCTCGCGCGCCCCAACCTCAGCGAGAAACACCGAAATGAGGCAGTCTCGCTCAAGAAACTCCTGCAAGGAGATGGAAGCTGGGCTACTCGAAAACTCATTCTGGGATGGATCATCGACACCCTTTTACAGACTCTGGAACTTCCTCCCCACCGGAAGCAAGCGCTCGCCGACATCTTCAAGGAACTAGCTGGGTGTCTCAGAGTCAGCCACAAGCGTTGGATGCAAATCCTCGGCAAACTGCGCTTTGTCTCTGTAGCCATCCGGGGCTCCGCTGGACTCTTCAGCGCACTACAGCTCGCCCTCACGAAGTCCAAAGGAGGGAGAATCCGGATCAACGCTGCGCTGAGATCCCACATCGATGCCTTTGCTGATCTGGCTGCCAGCCTCTGCCACCACCCGACACACTTGGCTGAGATCGCCCCCCAGGACCCATCCTTCTTCGGTGCCACTGACGCCGCCAAGGCTGGAATGGGCGGTGTCTACTTTGACTCCGAGGAAACTCCTTACCTATGGAGGTTCCCGTTCCCTCCCAATGTGCAGGCTCAGCTCGTGTCCACGGACAACCCGAAGGGAACCGTCACCAACAGTGACATTGAGCAAGCAGCCATCCTTGCGCAACACTCCTTGCAAGCGGTGCGGCACTGCGTCACCTACACCACCCACTACACTCTCTCGGACAACACCCCGGCCGTCTCCAGAGTCTCCAAAGGGGTGGTCACCTCAGATGGCCCTGCGGCGTTCCTCTGCAACTACGCCTGCCGACACCAGCGAGAGCACTGCTACTGCGCCCTCTCATCCTACATCCCGGGTCCTGCCAATGTGATGGCTGATGATGCGTCGCGTCTGCAACACCTCACCCTGCCTGAACTTCTCGCCCACTTTCAACAGCGCTATCCGCAGAACAAACCCTGGCAGGTGTTGACTCTGCCACCCGAGGTCAGTTCACTGTTGATCTCCGCCTTGCGCTGCAGACCGCTTCCAAAAACATTGTCTCCAAGACGGCCGCCG